AAAGTTGGTGATGTGTGGAGAAAAGAGAATCTTTGTATACTCTTGGGAATACAAATTGACAAAACCACTAAGAAAAAGAGTTTGAGGGCTCCTCAGAAATCTACAAATAGAACTACCATATGATTCAGTAATCCAATTTCTGGGTATATAACAAAAGGGATTGAGAGCAGTGAGGGAGGGAATGAAATGACGGGCTGCCAATCAAATAGTACAATGTCTCAGCTGGACGGGAGGAGTGTGTAATGAGAGCTACTGAACAGCAGGGTATGTGCAGCCCAGGATAATGTATCCTACATCTCAAAATATCTACATGAATTTCAAACATCTCATTATAAAGAATAATTACATTAATCACGCCACATTGTATACATACATCAAAATATCACATGGTACCCCCTAAATATAATTATGATTTGCCCATTAGAATAATATTAATTTAAAAATTTTTTTTTAAATTTATGGGAGGAGGCATTTAGCCTAGCAGTTCAAAGGACTGCGTGCCACATCAGAGCATTGGGGTCTGATATCTGGACCTGGCCTGCTGCTGCTACAGATCCTGGGAGGCCGCAGATGGCTCAAGTCATAGGGTTCCTGCCACCTGAGTGGAAGACCACAACTGCCCTTTCCTAAATTCATGACCTTCTACTTCCCACCTTGTCAGTCTGCACCAGCCCCACACACACATCTTAACACTGGGTGAACAAGCTGGCACTCAGCTGCCTCAGGGCCTTTGCACTGGAAAGTCAAGACACTGTGGCAAAAACACAAAACAAAACAAAAACCTAAATGAAAGATCTCTGCAAGTGAGATCCCAGTGGAAAGAACGGGCCATCAAAGAAGGAGGTACCTTTCTCTGAAGGGAGGCGAGAACTTCCACTTTGACTACGACCTTGTCTAAATATGATCAGAGTCGGCAAACTCAAAAGGCTTCCATAGCCTTGGCAGCTCATGACAAAAGCCTAGGGTGATTACTGATGCCATAAACAAGAGTGTCAATTTGTTAAGTCAACAACAGGAGTCACTGTGCACTTACTCCTCATGTGGGATCTCTGTCCTTAATGTGCTGTCCAATGTGAATTAATGCTATAACTAGTACTCAAATAGCATTTTACACTTTATGTTTCTGTGTGGGTGCAAACTGTTGAAATCTTTACTTAACATATACTAAATTGATCTTCTGTATATAAAGATAATTGAAAATGATGTGAGGGCTGGTGCCACAGCTCAATAGGCTAATCCTCCGCCTGTGGCGCCGGCACACCGGGTTCTAGTCCTGGTCAAGGCGCCGGATTCTGTCCAGGTTGCCCCTCTTCCAGGCCAGCTCTCTGCTGTGGCCAGGGAGTGCAGTGGAGGATGGCCCAAGTGCTTGGGCCCTGCACCCCATGGGAGACCAGGAGAAGCACCTGGCTCCTGCCTTTGGATCAGCGCGATGCGCCGGCCGCAGTGCGCCGGCCACGGTGGCCATTGGAGGGTGAACCAACAGCAAAGGAAGACCTTTCTCTCTGTCTCTCTCTCTCTCACTGCCCACTCTGCCTGCCCCCCCCCCCAAAAAAAAATGATGTGAAAGGGATGGGAGAGGGAGAGGGAGCGGGAGACGGGAGGGTTACGGGTGGGAGGGAAGTTATGGGGGGGAAAAAGCCATTGTAACTCATAAGCTGTACTTTGGAAATTTATATTCATTACATAAAAGTTAAAAAAAAAAAAAGAAGAGCTTTCTAACGTAACTCAGATGTCGATCACTGGTGTGGGAACACAGTGACGCTGGAAGCAAGGTGCTGGAGTTGGTTGTACAATTCTTAAAATAAGGTGCTCAGAAAAAGCTGCTCCTGAGAATGTGATATTGAACAGAGACCTGGTGAAGGTGAAGGCCAAAGGCATGAGACTTCTTGGAAGAAGACCTCTCTGCAATGGCCTGGGGAAGCAGAAGATGGCTCAAATTCTGGGGCCCCTGCACCCATGTGGGAGACCTGGAAGAAGCTCCCAGCTCCTGGCTTTGGACTTGCCCAGCTCTGGCCATTGCGGCCATCTGGGGAGTGAACTTGCAGATGGAAGACCTCTCCCACCCCCTTGCCTTTTAACTCTGCCTCTCATAAATAAATAAATCTTAAAAAAAGAAATTCAGTCATTGCTAATTCTTTTGTAACAGTTTGTTTTGGGAAAGTTAAGATTTTTGTTAAAAGATTTATTTATTTATTTGAAAGGCACAGTTACAGAGACAGAGGCAGAGATGGAGACAGGTCTTCCATCCGCTGCTCCACTCCCCAGATGGCAGCAACGGCCAGAGCTGTGCCGATCTGAAGTCAGGAGCCAGGCGCTTCCTCCGGGTCTCCCATGTGGGTGAAGAGGCCCAAGCACTTGGGCCATCCTCCACTGCTTTCCAGAAGTGGAGCAGCTGGGACTTGAATTGGGACCCACATGGGATGCCTGCGCCACAGGGGTGGCTTAACCCACTATGCCACAGCGCCGGCCCCAAGGAAGTAAAGATTTAAAAAGCAAACTTATGGTAATCTTAAGGACAGCATATCCTCAACCCTGACTTTTCTTACCATCTTCAAAAATTAGGCACATGGGAGGACAAATGTTTATATAGAAACATACAAGTGGGTGTCTGAGGTTAGCAATAATTAACTTTTTCATCAGGGTTAGTTATGATAACAAACCCCTCTTTACTCAGCACAGTCATTTCTTTCTTAGCTAACTTTAAGAAGTGAGTAAGGGGGGGCCGATAGTGGGTTAAAGCCCCAACCTGCAGTGCCGGCATCCCATATGGGCACTGGTTCGAGTCCTGGCTGCTCCACTTCTGATCCAGATCCCTGTTAATGCACCTGGGAAAGCAGTAGAAGATGGCCCAAGTCCTTGGGCCCCTGCGCCCACGTGGGAGATCTTGAAGAAGCTCTTGGCTCCTGGCCTAGGATCAGCACAGCTCCAACAGGTACGGCCATTCAGGGAGTGAACCAATGACTGGAAGATCTGTCTCTCTGCCTCTGCCTTTTTGTAACTCTGCCTTCCAAATAAATCAATCTTAAAAAAACAAAAAGACTTGTGGGCCACAAACTCACACTGACCAACACACAGCAACTGGAATGCAATAATTTGTACAATGATAAAAAGCTTGAGAATAAACTTGTGGTGGGTGAGACTGGTAGAGACAAAGGAAAAGAAAAAAAGAAATTGAGTATAGCTCCCTGGAACCCACGTGCCTCGTACCCTTCTTTTAACTTTTCTCCCTTCACATCCTTTTTGCTATTTATCAACTCACATCTGTCTCTCCTGTACTGATCTGATAGTCACATAAACATACTGTCTTTTGTCTTCTAGGTATCTGGGGACAGGAAATAGAAAGGGTAGTAGAGAAAAGAGGAATAGGAGCAACAAATAGATCCCATGAATGCTAACTTAATAAGTTATAGTTTTAAAGCCAAGGATCATTTTCCAGGCGGGAACAGCCACAGAATTTACAATGTAACAGCAACAAGATGAGGTCCCAGGAAGCCCTCTCGAAGGTGTGGTAACTCAATAGTCCTCCACTACCTGAGAAGGCGTGAGGATCGCTGTCCATCTCACCGTGGACCCACAGGCTCACATTTCAGCCCCCAGCGTCCTTGTCCCTTGCTGACACCTTTCTTCCCCACCTCCACAAGCCACAGATCACGGCTAGGAGAACATCGCATGAGGCTATTAAGCAGTGGCCTGGGGAACTGGAGAAGAGGCAGAATCCTCTCTGGGGACCTTCGGGGCAGCTGATCAGCTGTGGCAGGCAGAGTTACATCGAATTCAGTCCAGCAAAATGTACCTGGACTAGGGACTCAGCAAAGCACTGAGAAGGAGAGAGGGCACCGCCCCCTCCTTGGGTAAAGGGGAATGGCTTCCTCTGGACTGCTTCACACACACATGTATTATGCTTGGCTATCATGGACTATGTACGCTGCTGGGTTGGCTCTGTGTATTGGGAATTTTTTGGGCCTGCTTTCCATCCTAAGAGACAATCACTGAATCACTTCTTAGCAATTATTTAACCCAGTGATCCTTTGAAACAATTTTTTAAAGGTATATTCATTTATTTATTTAAAAGGCGGGGGAGGGGGGAGGGGAAGAGGTGGGAGAGAGAGGAAGAGGGAGATAAAGGGAGATGGGGAGGGAGGGTGAGATGGCTTCAATCTGCTGGTTCACTTCCCCAAAAAGGCTGCAATGGCCAAGACTGGGCCATACCGAAAAGCCAGGAGCCTGGAACTCAACCCAGGTCTCCCACATGAATGGCAGGGGTCCAAGGACTTGGATCATCGTTTTTGCTTTCCTAGACACATTAGCATCCGGGGCTGGCACCAGCACTCTAATATGGAATACTGGTATTGCTAAGGACAGTGGATCCCACTGTGCAACCATATTGGGTTACACAGTAACCCTTAATCTTGGCTGGACATTAGTATTTCCTGGGAAACTTTAAAAAAATTAGAGACACCTGGGCTTACTCCAGTCCACTTAAATCAGAATCTCTGTTGGATAAACAAACACAGCCCACCTCACAGGCAACACAAAACACAATGGACTACAGATTATTAGTTAAGAACTTCCGATCGCACACGGCACTCTCTTTTTAATATAGAAAAACTAACGTCCAAAGAATTTCACTGACCTGGGACTTGTCAAAGATTGCATGCCTAGTTAGTGGCAGAGCCTGATCCCCATCAGCTCACTCTCTGAGCAAGCATCTACCAGCACCACTGCAGGGGTGTGGACCGGCTAGCTGGTTGCCACTCAAGAGCAAGGTGAGTCAAAGCTGGCTGATAGGCCGAGGGGCAGTCAGGCTGATCTTAAGCCACATTAGAAGGTGAGAGTAAGGGATGATGGTTCCAGCCTTCTCTCTCATGGTTTCCTTCCAAACCGTGGTGTGGGACTCAGGCCTCTGGAAAAGTTCAGGAAGCCGCTGGTGCAGGCAAAAAGCCATGAATATTGTCGGGCAGCCCTCTCCTTTCCTAGTTCCAAGGGGAACCTCTACTCACCCAGATCCAACGAGCAGCACAGGGCAGGTGACAGGATGCCCAGCGGGAGCTGCAGAGGAGGTCAGGGACAGCTCGCCCAACGGGGCTGCGAGCGGGAGAAGGCGGCGCTGGAAGAACACAGACAAGTTCATCGGGCAGCTGCTATCTTGCTATTTCAAAGGAGTCACATCCAAAATATTTAATGCTGTCCATTCCTTCCTCCTAACTCTCACCCGCCCCCTCCTGAGACACAGTCATTAGCACAGCGGTTTACGTGCAGCATGGCTTTAGAATACATACATGCATACGTGTATCACCACATGTGAATGTCTACACATCTCCTTCCTCATGGGAGAATGGCAGGGGTGTGTGTGAGCAAGGGAGAGACAAAGTCCAGCTGCTGAACTGACCATTCCCATACTCTGCAATTCATGGGCATGAAGGGTGTGCGTGATAGACTGTGCCCAGACATTCCTCCTGGGCACAAATCCCCCACAAAGTACTTTCCTTGAGAAGAGCAAGAAAAATACAAAAACAAGAGAGAATCACGATGTTCCAAACAGAAGTTGAACTTGTTCAATTCCAAATTTAACAGGAGGGGCCGGCGTTGTGGCATAGTAGCCAAAGCCTCTGCCTGTAACACCAGCATCCCATATGGGTGCCAGATAGAGTCCTGGATGTTCTCTGCCAATGCACCTGGGAAAGCAGTGGAAGACGGCCCAAGCGTTTGGGCCCCTACACCCACATGTGAGACCCGGAAGAAGCTCCTGGCTTCAGTCTAGCCCAGCCCTGGCTATTGCAACCACTTAGGGAGTGAACCAGTGAATGGAATGGAAGAGCTCTCTCTCTCTCTCTCTCTCTCTCTCTCTCTAGATCTGCCTTTCAAATAAATAGAAATCTTTAAAAAAAGGAACAGAACTAATCTGTCTTTAGTCTTTCTTGAATGATACAATTATCATTGCCCATTCACAAAACACATACTCAAGAGGCTAGGTTGGAAATAAACTAACCAGTGCCCACTCAGTTTGTGGCTTTACCTGCACCCTTGCTTCATTTTTTCATTTTGCTCCATCTACCTACTTCCTGTTTTAAAGCAAGGTTTCATGCTCTACACCAAGAATCCTCTAGAAGGTACACAGCATTGTGAATGGGTTGCATTCAAGTCTCTAGAGTTCACTGGATTTTGAAAAAGATCTATCCCCTTACTTAAAGTCCCCTAGAGCACAACTGTTTCAAGAATGAAGCTGGGGAGAAGCTAAAAACACTGGTGATAGTTGGTACCTCCCATGACAGATTTTTTGAAACTGGTCCCTGGAACTAACTTCCAAAGTAAAGAAGCAAGAGTTCATGGGGCATAGTAGGCTAAGCCTCCACCTGCGGCACCAGCATCCCATATGGGAGCAGTTTCAAGTTCTGGCTGCTCCACTTTCCATCTAGCTCCCCGAAATTGTGCCTGGGAAAGCAGCAGAAGACGGTCCAAGTGCTTGGGCCCCTGTACCTATGTGGGGCACTCGGAAGAAGCACCTGGCTCCTGGCGTCAGGTTAGAATAGCTCCGGCTGTTGTAGCCATTTAGGGAGTGAACCAGTGGACGGAAGACCTCTCTCTTTTAACTTCACCTCTCAAATAAATAAAATCTTTAAAAAAAGTTCATGAAGCCAAATCTATTCTCCAAGAAGATGGACTTGGGTCATAGTTTGGGAAGCACGTGTCCATGCTGACGTCATCTTTCTGGGCAAACTTTCACTCATTTAAAACCAAAGGAAAAATCAACATCTTGTTTCTCTTGTTGAGTTTAATTTTATTGATTTCATGGTAAAGTAAAAAAACAGGAATATAGACATATCTTCTTATTCAGAAAACCAGGCTACCTGCGACGGCAGAAAAACCACAAAAACATCGGGGATACCAGAAGACACACCCCGCATTTGGAATGAGAGGAAGATGCAACTGATTTTGGTTTTCAATGAAAAAGGCAGCACACGCCTGCGTCTGAACTTTACAAGTCAGACTACCGCTGCGGTGGGGGGAAAATTCCTCCACCTTCCACCCTCTGCGGTTGTCAGTTTTAAAGTGCCCACACGAAGAAGGCGCCCAAAATGCTTGCTGGATTGAGTCAATTCTTTGGGTATCGCTCATCAATTATTGAGGAACGTGTAACTCTGTATAGTTTCAAAGTAGTTAGCGAGAGACAGAGAGAGAAACGCGCTGAAACAGAACTGGGGCTCCAGGTGTTACCTAATAGGCTACAAAGCCTTCCAGCAGCTCACTGAAGGTTTCCGTCCCAGCGACTGGCACTTAGGAATTCTCCCCAAGCCTCCTGCTAACGCAAATGAGCTGCAACTTCCCTCTCTCTGCTTCTGTACGTGCCTGAGAAGCTGATAACAGACAACACTGCCCGGCACCTGCCAGAACCCACTGCCCTGCGCCCGGCACAAACTCATTCTTCTAACCGCTCATACTGCCCACCCCTCAAAGCAATTCCCTTGCGCTTCCTCTAGGGCCAGTCCCTCCCTTACAGGAGGTAACGCCTTTACAGCTCGCACCCACGACCCGCCCCCCTCCCACCCCCAAGCCTTCAGATCAGAGAAGCTGGACTCCCAAGCCCAGTCCCGCCAAGCGGCCATTCCTGTTATCAGATTCTCTATCCACTTGGTCAGTCCTGGACCCCAAGAGCGCATCGCGGCGCGCCCTACTGTGCCCTATCTGCAGGCATACCTGTGCAAGCTTTCCTACCTGAAGGGCTCTCCGTGCGGGGGCAGGGTAGCCTGCCCGGTTCGGCCCGACCCGCGGATCACACGCGCGGTCACGGGGCCCCTAGCCACCTCGACCACCTCCAGGCAGCAGCCGGGAAGCGGCAACCAACAGGAGACCGCAGGGTGGGAGGGATCTTGTGCCCTCCCCTCACGAGGTCTGGGCTGCTGGCTCACCTGGGATCCTGGGCAGGGCTTGAGGAGTAGCGGGCGCTCCAGGAAGGAACCGGGAGGCCGGTCTGGCCCGGGCAGGGGAGGGGGGCAGGTGGCAAACGTCCCGCACTCAACTTGCGCGTGGTCGCGCAGGGTGCAGAGAAGGCGCCTCCCTGGCTGGTCCCTCCTACCCCCCAGCTTTGGAGACAGGTGGACCACGGGCTTTTAGGACAGAGACGGAACCCCAGCGCGAGACGTGGAATCCCGGCCGGCTGGCCCTTTCTAAGCGCCGCGACCCCGCGGCCGCCCGCGCGCACTCACCGGCCCGCGCTGCTCAGACGGAGCCGCTGCGCCTGGACGTCGTGCCGCTGCCTCCGCGTGCGGCTCTCGCTGGAGGCGCCGGCGCCGCGGCTTGGAAGGACCGCGCCAGCGCCGGCTGCGCCTTCCCCGTCTACCCTCTTCCCGCCCCGTCTCGCCCCCGCCCCGCCGGGTCTCGCCGGGCCCTGTACCTTCCCACCTCGCCCCGCCTCTTCCCACCCCGCATCGCCCCTCCCCTCCTCGGCTCGCCCCGCCCCGCCCCGCCTCCAGGGGCCCCTGGGGGACCGGGACCGGGGCTCCTTTTCTCCACAGAGGTCGCGTCTCCGACGCCTAGAACTTTCTAAGGTGTGCTTGGACATGAGTGAGGATCTTCTGCGTCCCCGTCACCCAGGAATTCCTCGTGTGGCTCCCGAGTCGGAGGTGGAGACCAGGCCCCCCTAAACCACCACCGACTAGCCGGATTCAAGTGGCACACGCCGCTTGTTAGTATTCAATAAGGACGCAGTCATTGTAGAGGCTCAGATGGCTAAAAGAACGCAGGACCATCCAGGAAATATCCAATGACCACGAGTGAGTTTTTTGTTTAATAACAACTCTGTGTTGCCTTGCAAATATTATGAATTGGGCAACACAGCAGGGCTGGGACAGATGGCTTTCCAGGAATGCGAGCGAGCTAGCATTTACAAAACAGCTTTTGTATTCGATGAAGCAAAGCGTCATGCCCCATTACCTAAGAGGCAGAGAGAAGACCGCTTGTCTGGCTCCTGACACCCAGGATGAGCCGGCCTCAGGAAGGTGAGCGAGAACGCGATCTCACCTTCCGCACCTTTCTCTGGCTTCACGACTGAGCAAGCCTTATCGTAGGCTCACCAGGAAACTCGCTTGCTGGAAACCCGTTTGCTCTGCACTGTGCATCTCTGCGCGTGCACACTGCGGCGACCCAGGAGATGAGCCCGCTGACTGGCCAGGGCTTTGAAGGTGAGAAGCGCACCTGGAGACTGCACCTGCAGAGAGCGGAGGCCCAGAGCAGCCCGAGAGCACAGGTACCGCGCAGGAGGGCGCTCTCTTCCAGGGCATCTGACGGCTGCGCGGCGCGTGCTCAGTACTCCTGATACTTGAGCAGGTAGCTAAAGCCAAATTTCCTGTTCTTTAGGATCTCAAGTCTCTGAAGAAATCCTAACAGATGCGTTACTACAGAGGAGTTGGGCCCCCGGGACAAACATTTCTGGCGTCCTTTTCCAACTTCGCCTTTGTCATTATATGAGATTATTTTGTCATAGGTGTCCTACTGTAGCCCAACGCTTTTTTTTTTTAAAAGATTTATTTATTTATTTGAAAGAGTTACACACAGAAAGGAGAGGCAGAGAGAGAGAGAGAGAGAGAGAGAGAGAGAGAGAGAGAATGGTCTTCCATCCCCTGGTTCACTCCCCAGTTGGATCAGCAACTGCTGGAGCTGTGCTGATCTGAAGCCAGGAGCCAGGAGCTTCCTCTGGGTCTCTCATGCAGGGGCCCAAGGACTTGGGCCATCTTCTACTGCTTTCCCTGGTCGTAGCAGAGAGCTGGATCAGAAGTGGAGCAGCCAGGACTCAAACCAGTGCCCATATGGGATGCCAGCGCTTCAGGCCAGGGCATTAACCCGCTATGTCACAGTGCCTGCCCCAGCCCAATGCTTTTTAAACCATGATTGTGGCTACCAAGCACCTGAGGATCTGGTTACACATGCACGTTCTGACTCAGGAGATCTGAGTGGCACCTGAGATACCCATTTATTTATTTTAATTATTTTCATTTTATTTGAAAGAGACAGACAGACATGGAGAGAGATCTCCTATCTGCTGGTTCACTCTCCAAAGCCCACAGAAGCCATGGCTGGGCCAGCCTGAAGCCAGGATCCTGGAGCTCATGCTATGTCTCCTACTTGAGTGGCAGGTACCCAGGTACTTGAACTACCACCTGCTACCACCAGGGGTGCACTTTAGCAGGAAGCTGGAGTCAGGAGTGGAGCCGGGACTCAAACAAGAAACTGTGATGTAGAATGCTGGCATCCTAACCAGTGACTTGGCTGTTGTGCCAAACACCTTCTCCAACACATGCGTATCTGACCAGCCCCATGGTGAGAATGATGGGCTGTTGGAGGACAAAACTTTGAGAAGCAACACTGCAGACAGCTGGATTAACTGTTTTTTGGGTAGCACCCAGGTACCCAACATAATAAGAGCAAGAATTATGTTGCTTGCCTTTGCTCAGTGTTTTCCTGTCCTAGGCACTGCTCTAAGTGCCCCATGCGTATTAACTCCTGTCAACACAGGAGCCTTGTGAGGTAGGCACTGCTATTGTTTCTGGTCAAGAGATGAGTTAACTTTCAGTTTAGTTCCCTCTATCTGGACCCCTTTCCCCATCTTCAGTGGTTTAGCTTCATTGGTTCTTGAGTTTGTAGAACATTAATGGGATCCAAAAAAGTGAAACCCATACAAAAGCAAAGTCAGAAATGTGTCTTCCCTTCTTTGTTCCAGCTGGCTGCCCCCTTCCCCTGTGGCTAAACGCTCTGGCTGACCCTTCCCAAGTATCTTTTTGTAAAGCTAACAGGTGTGTGCATGTATGCAGGTATCCAGTTCTTTCTCATACAAAAGGTGGCAGGTTCCAGATGTTCTCTGCTCTTCGCTATTAGATCTCACCCATGGAAATTGCTCTGTCACCTTGGGAGACCTTCCTCATTCTGTTTTGCAGCTCCATAGCCCGGCATGCACATTCCATTGTGTACATGAATCATAGTGTGTTCAAGCAGTCACAGGTTTGGACCTCGATGTACGTAGTTTCCTGTGTTTCACAGTTACAAAAGACATGCTGCTTGTATTTGCATATTTCATATGGCTGGAGGTATACATTTAGGGTGGATTCCTGGAAATGAGGTTGCTGTTTGCTGGGTCAATGGTAAATGCATATGAAGTTATCCCAGCTTCAGGTTTATGTCATTTTCATTCCTAATAGCAGTGCATGGGAGAGCCTTGGTCCTATAGCTGTTTGCAGCTTGTATGGGCAAGCTTTTGAATGTTTTCAATGTGATGGGTTAGACATGGTATCTCAGTGAGGTTTACTTTTCATTTCTATTATAATGAGTCAGATTGAAACTTCTGTCATGTTTAATGGGCATTTTGAAATATCTGTTTTCCTGCATCATTTATTTATGTCTATTGCTCAGTTTTCACTAGAATTTTGGTCATTTTTGCCTTTAATTTTTTTTTTGACAGACAGAATGGACAGTGAGAGAGAGAGACAGAGAGAAAGGTCTTCCTTTGCCATTGGTTCACCCTCCAATGGCTGCCGCGGCCGGCGCGCTGAGGCTGGCGCACCATGCTGATCCAAAGGCAGGAGCCAGGTGCTTCTCCTGGTCTCCCATGGGGTGCAGGGCCCAAGCACTTGGGCCAACCTCCACTGCACTCCCTGGCCACAGCAGAGAGCTGGCCTGGAAGAGGGGCAACCGGGACAGAAACCGGCGCCCCAACTGGAACTAGAACCCAGTGTGCCGGTGCCGCAGACGGAGGATTAACCTATTGAGCCATGGCCCCGGCCTCATTTTTGCCTTTAATTTAAAAGATCTCTATATGTTAGGAATATTAGCTCTTCAAATGTGATGCATGTTAGAAAAATATTCTGTGAACATCTCATTTTTACTTTGACTTTAAGCATTATTTTTGTTGATGGGAAAAACTAAAATACATTTATGCATAAAGATAATTTAATTATGCATATTTATTTATCACAATAGTTCTACAAGTAGATATTTCTTCCATATTAGAAACAGATGAGGGGCCGGCACCGTGGTTCACTTGGTTAATCCTCCGCCTGTGGTGCCAGTATCCCATACGGGCACCGGGTTCTAGTCCCCGCTGCTCCTCTTCCAGTCCAGCTCTCTGCTGTGGCCCAGGAAGGCAGTGGAAGATGGCCCAAGTGCTTGGGCCCCTGCACCCGCATGGGAGACCAGGAAGAAGCACCTGGCTCCTGGCTTCAGATCGGTGCAGCGCTGGCCGCAGCAGCCATTTGGGGAGTAAACCAACGGAATGAAGACCTTTCTCTCTGTCTCTCTCTCACTGTCTGTAACTCTACCTGTCAAATAAATTAAAAAAAAAAAAGGAAACAGATGAAAGCAAAGTGATTTGTCCAAGAATATGAGCAATAAAGAGATAATATAATTTTATGGAAGTACTTTTTCTTTTTAAAGATTTATTTCTTTATTTGAAAGTCAGAGTTACAGAGAAGAAGAGGCAGAGGCAGAGAGAGCAAGCTTCTATCCACTGGTTCAGTCCCCAAATGGCCACAATGGCCAGAGTTGGGCTGATCTGAAGCCAGGAGCCAGGAGCTTCCTCTGGGTCTCCCACACGGGTTCAGGGGCCCAAGCACTTGGGCATTCTTCTACTGCTTTCCCAGGCACATTAGCAGGGAGCTGGATCAGAACAGGAGCAGCTGGGACTTGAACCAGTGCCCATATGGGATGTTGGCACTGCAGGCAGTGGCTTTACCCACTATACCACAGCGCCAGCCCGCGGTGATTTTTAGGAATTCCTGGTTATCACCAATTTTCATCCATTGAATGATGGTGTGCCAAGGAGTAGCTTCTTTATGTTTATCCTGCTTGAAGTTTGTGGATCCTTTTGGATCTCTGAATTTACAGATTTCACCAAATTCAGAAAATGGTTAGTCACTAGTTCTTCCAATAAACAGGGAGTTCATGTGTGTGAAGTTGTCTATTTTGTGTATCCTGATATGCCAAATTACATCATTGTATTCCTGATTCATCTTTTCTTGATGAAGCCTGATAGTTTCAGATAATGTTGGGGGTAATTTGTCAATTTTAGAAAATCTATACGTTTGTAACATGTTATAATTTCTTTCCTCATTTTAAATATATACTCACTTTTGTACATAATTTTATAATTTCGAGTTTTTAAAAAATATTTATTTGAAATTCAGAGAGATTGATTGATTGATTGATTGATCAATCTTCCATCCACTAGTTCACTCCCAAAATGGCTGCAATGGCCAGAGCTGGGTCAGGCTGAAGCCAGGAGCCAGGAGCCAGGAGCTTCCTCTGGGTCTCCCCTGTGGGTGCAGGGGCCTAAGCACTTTGGCCAT